AAAACCCTGTTTTCACACAGGACAAAAAACTCGTGCACTGTAAGTACTTCCCGCTGTCCCGTACAAAGCCTTAGAAAAATTTACTAAGGCTTTGTATGGGACAATGGGAGGTACTTACAGTGCACGCGTTTTCCTGACTGTCATGGTGTTTAGATGAGGTGACAGGTGAAAACTTTCTCCATAGTTTGTGGAATCATGTTTGAAAAACATTTTTAAAAGCAATAAAGTATTTCATTCCTGTAGCCTCTCCCACACACTAGGAAGGAAGGGAGAAGGTTTGGAGAGTTTGAGAAAGTTATGTAAACCACAGAAATTGTCCTGCAGCAGCGTTCGAAAAGTTGCCCAACTCAAAACCGTAACCAAAACATTCCAAAATGTTTATACAGGGTGAATTACGCTTAATACATTATGTATGGTCACATTTTTAAGTTATTTGAAATAGGTGAGCTGCTGCATATCTGTGACCTTCTAATACGATACTTGGGAATACTTCGTAATACAGTGTTACAAGTGATCAAGTTTATGACCAGTAAAATAATGAAAACTGAACTAAGTGGAGTGCAATTTAATATGAAATCATACACGTAATTTGAAATCACAAGCATGAATTCAAACCAAAATTGCACTCCACTCACTTCAGTTACCATTTTATTACATCAAATTTGAAATAAAAAAAATTCAGTCGCTGAAATACAGGATTTTCTACTCGGTACAGAAGATTACAAATTGATAATCTCTCGGCTTTGATCGATTAGTCAATGTGTTTAGATGGGAGCATGTAAACACGGCTGTGACGTCATACTTTCTTTATTTGTCGAATTGTTATTATTGAGATATACTGTTTGTAAAAGTAAGAATGGAAATTTTCCCTAGTCTAAGTCAGTCTAGAGCTTCCCAGCCGTGTAAAATCATTGTGTTTGGTGAGAATACATTCTTACTGAATACATATGTAGACACCTTTTTTTATTTAGTCACTTCGAAACGATTGGTAGCTTGGTGTGGTTGCATCGTACCTATGATAATTCAGTCTTAGCTCCACTGAATATCTAGTCAACACTTGCTATTCATTGTTTATGCTTAATGTCTTTGAGAATATTTGATTAAACGACAATTACACCGGCGAATCAGGAGCACAGGCTTCCCAGTTAACATAATCTATTGAAATTAAACGTAGGGTTATTTGGTTTTTTTTTTTATGATTACTAACCTCACACTTTACTTTTGGAAGTCGGGGAAAAATTGGTCAACGTTAAATGTGACAGCCATGCAGAGGGCTGAGGAGAACGAAATAAGATTAGCTAAATCATAAAAGTGAAAAGGAGCCAATTTCCCAAAAAAGCTCAAAAACTTAGAGTAGATCGTGTTGTGTCTTGCGGGAAAGTTTGAAAAGAAACACAATACAAAAGTGTTGAATACATTGGAGGGCTGGAAATATATTTTTGGAGAAGCTATCAGTAAAGGTAAAGAACACACTCAATTGTATCTGTCAAACAGAGTGTATAGAATGCATTAAAAAGCTGTTAACTCCAGGTTTAAACATCTTCGTAGCTTCTCAAAATTGGCCTCATCTAAAGTTAATCCAGTTTCACAACTTGATTCTTTCTTTACAGATAGACAAATTGCATCATGTTTTCATGATATAGGAAACTGCTATCACGGTCACTTAGCGATTAGAGGACTTAAGACATTGACTAAAAGGTTTAGTCATCCATTCGAGATTCATGTTGAATTTTTTGGAAGAAAGTTTGGACTTTACCAGTGGGGGAAGATAATCAATCTTGAGTAGAAGTGTCCGTTTGAAAAAGTAACTCTTGCTCTGAATAAGATCAAAATTCTAAACCAGAATGAATTTCACATCTCTGGGATTTAGATGTCAGTACAACTTTGTTCCATCCATATTCCCCAAAGGAAAACCCACGATTAAAGACATACACGAAAGTAAAGAGATTCAGAAGCTCTTCCAAGATTTATACAAGGTAACTCAACAGACTATCAATATTTGAATTGCACTTGTTCAAAGCGTCGAGGTTAGTTTTTTTTTCCTCAATTGCCCTCTTGAATTTGAATGTTAATGATTAAGCTCCACACATATAATATTTACTATAACTAACAGTTTCATCCACTCGACAATGGAGCTATACGTTATGGAACCTAGGCATGGGCATGTGCAGGTTCATTTTGGTACTTGGCAATTCGTCTCTGCGATAGCTAATCAAAAATGGAAAATAACGAAGCTCTAAAGTTTTCAACACAGTCACAATTTTAACCAAGAATTCCAACTACTGAAAGTTAGCTAGACAGTCAGTGTTTTCCTTGAATAATTGTATTAGTTTGGAAAGATCACGTGGAGACTTGTTCTACTGCAAGAAATTGGACCACGTTTGGCTAGAATACGTGATACGTTAGTCAATGAATGAGTAATCGGATCCATGTGTTTGCCCAGAGATTTCTGGGATCTCTGGGAGAAAACATTGCAAGTTGCTAGTGGGAAATATGTGACGAGAGGTTATTTCGACGTCTAAGTGAACGATTTTGGAGGGAGATCATTGCTTTTTCGCCTTATGCTTTCATCAGGAGTTGTGCAATTTGTTTCCCTGATAACCTTTCAATTAATTGAAAACAAAGATCATATTCTTCAGTTGGAAAATTTTATGCTGCATAATTTGTGTGTCATTTCAAGTCATATTAACTAATTGCAAATTGCAGTCGAAGTCGTTTTCATGAATTACAAAGACTAGTCACGTGAACAACTACATATAAAACTACTACTACAATATTACAACTATAATCACGAACATTGCTGCAATAAAATCAATTATTTATCGTTATAGCTCTTATAGAATTCTTTTTTACAGCTTTAAACTTGCATAACTACAGTTGTAATCACTAACACACTCATGACATTAACACTCCTTTGGTCCCTTTCAACAGCTGGACCACTAAGTCCTTTTGCTGCTCAAGACAAATATCTAAGTGACATCAGAAAGACATAGCTATGTTCGTTTCTCATACCCGATGCCAAAAATGTAGCTTATATTTAACAAAGCTCCCAATAATTCAGGCCAGTCCTTTGATTTGCACTTCCTAAATCACATTTTCTGCGAAGAAGCTTGGAGGTGAGCTTTGTTAGTTGATCTACCAGTTTGAGATGGCTATTTATTCATTTTACAGGTAGCGTGGATAATTAGCTGGGTACATGGTCACTACCCTTTCGGGTAAAAGTCAACGACAACGGTGATTTGGGCACTCCCTAGTTGTGCAGCTTGTCGATTTGGAAAGTTCCCCACAATGAAATCGAACTTGTATAAGTAATTCAAGCGACGGCGATGGGTCGCTTTTTCTAGTACTCCGGAGCGAAGCTTGTCGACAACTTCTTAAAAGAAGAAGTGTAGTTGAATGTTGTTAGTGAATGTAGATTTGTTTTGAACACGTTCAGAAGAGTAATGCATTTGAATAACGTGGTTATCTCTCTCAGAAGAAATAGTAACTTGTTCAAGAATGTCTTTACAATTCGGGCACAGTGGATTCATAATTCTAAGTTTTTCCAAAAATTCGCAATCGTCAATGTTATGAACGTGAAGATGGACGGAGCCTTCAGTCAGTAGAGGTCTGGGGTCGAAACTAATATTAACCTATCAGATTTACTCATCACTGTTACTGGAGATACGAATATCATCCTGAAACTCTATGAAACAAATATCGGTTTCTTTTCTTGAAAGCGAAAAAATTTGACACAAGAGATAGGGAATTAGTTAATTGCTTGGCTAAAATATTCTGGAATTTCAAGAAATAAAATCGGATTATCTATCCCAAAAAAGAAACAAACTCATAACTAAAATGTTACTGGTGGGAGTTGAATTTCATGCAATTTGGAGAGTACCACAGGCTGGTCAGGATTATTTTCTATCATTGACAATGTTTGTAGCCAAGATGTAGCCAAAAGATTTGGTGCAATTTCGGATAAAGTTCGCAATTGTACAAGCAAGTTATAACTTTTAGCATAATTTCCCAGCTGGTTTCTCGCAAGTTCAGTGATTTCTTTCTTTCTTTCTCATTTAACTCAGCAAATGCGAAATGGCTCAGTGATTTTTTTCTTCAGTCCTGGAAATACCTCACCATAAACTATCATTTTATTTTTGAATTCAATCAAAGTAACTATTCTAAAAGAAAGTTATTAAGTACCAAAAACGCTTGTCTTTCTCGTTTTGTGACTATTGCCGTAATATTTTCTAGAATGCCATCAGGTTATAGAATTTTCAGGTATAAAGTTTTAGAAGTCTGTATCTCTGATGGAAAAAGGTAACTAATTGGCTCACCATTTTCCTTGCGTCTGTAATTTCGATCAAGAACATAGAGATAATTCCATGAAAAGTGCGCCAAATGATTTTCATTCACGAGTTGCGATACAAAAAAAAAAACGTCATTTGATAACGTCAGCCTCTCCGACAAATATGGTTTGCTGCTGGATGATTCTTTAAAAGAAAATCAAGCTTTAAGGGAGCAACTGAAAGAGCGCGATGAAGGAAACGTTGCAAAGTTCCAAGATCCGCAAACAAGAAAGAGAAATCGAAGAAAAGCAACTCAAAGCTCCACGTACCCTCAAGGTGTCGGGTGAGTATAAAGTAAAGCCTACGTCTGTATAGATTGACCTTGTGTACGCTTGTTTAGTTGGCAGACTCGTGTTGACAAACTGAGTTGATTTGTGTAAACGACAAAACAGCAGTTAGCAAACTGCCTAAAATGTAAATCTTCAAGATATCTTGTGGGCGGAACAAGCTTTTGGTCGCTGGTTCGCAGACGGACTATACCGGGGTTTAGTTCGTCTGCAACGCAGGCTATATGTGCCCAACTTACGGGCGATTAAATATAGCTTCTTGAGATTTTTTTTATTTCGTTTGTTTCAGATTTTGGTAATTATTTTTCTTTAATTGCTTATTGCTAAACATTTTCTTGTAACTTCCATTTTTCAGACTGAATTCCGAAGAATTTATAATTGCTTAATGGAAGACGATGCAAGTTTCCAAGGTTTTTATCTTGAAGAAAGGTAATGTTGCTATTTTTGTGTTTGCTTGCAATCTTGCTTTGCAAATCAATTTTTACAAGGCTTCAAGTTTGCGTATGTCTTAAGTGCCATCAAGTTTGTGATGAAATTGGCTATGAAGCTCTCTATTTCACATGTACAGGTGTATGTTCTTTGTTCTGGACTTGCATGTATGTGTAACTGAGTTACATTGTTAGTATTGCTTTATTTATTTTTTCTATTTACCGGTATTTAATAAAATCTTTATTTATTTATTTTTCAGCACCAACTCAGCAAGAAATAAGGAGGCATTTGCCTCAGTAGCAGAAGCTATTAACAATGACTACGGTGGAGCTGAACAATGTCCATGGTCCCCCGCTCAACTCAAAGGTTAATAATAATTACCTTGTCAAATGTAAAAATTGTTATTTTTCATTTTCGAGCATTGAAAAGGTACAGTGTTACATGTATTTAGCATTTTCACTATAATAGTGTTATATGTAGCTTGATACATGTATAGTAATAACCATAACATCCAAAACATCCAAACTAAATTTTATTGTTTCTTTAGCTATTTTTAACTTACTTGAGAAGCCTGAAGGATGGTGAAAAAAGGAAAAAAAAGCCAGGGAAGGTCAAACACAAAATCATTTGCAGGAGACAAGGACGATTACTAGAGGTAATCCTGAGTTGAGTACAACTTTAGATAACACGGATTGGCTTCTGTTATCATTGGTGCAAGACATTAAGTGTTCACACATTAACAACTGTTGACTGGTTTTAGTTTAACTTCTTTGTAACACTAGTTAAAACCCATAGGGGAACACAGTGAGCATTTGCAAACACTGTGACAAGAAGATACCGTTTGGCTTTCTTTTTGTAAAACATTCTTGTAGTTTGATAAACAGTTTTAAACTGTTCATTTTCTATGCAACTTGCAAATGAGCAATTCAATTTCTGTCAAGACATAAATTTAAAAGTCTGATTTATTTTGCAAATAAATTGCTCGACGACTCTCTGTAGCTGAGCGGATGGACTGGGACGATGCAAAGAAGGACAGATGCCAAGAGTACCTAACAATTGACTATACCAGCTCTGATGAAAGCGAGCTTTCGGAAGACGAATCTTGTGTAGACGTCAAGCGATTTGTAACCAAAAGATTAGCTTAGGAGTCACCCAAATTGAGGTAGTTAAAGGAAAATCTTGACTGTCAATACCATCGCCAGAAATCAACTACATTTCGAGCCCGCTAACAATTATCAGCGGTATATCGTGTTACACTCCGCAACAGTAGAATATCAAGAGAATTCAATATGGCGGCGATCACAGCTCGATCTGCAAAGAAGAGTGTTTCGTACCATGATTTATACAATTTGAGCACCGCAGAACTTCTATTTGATGAAAAGAAAAAGAAAAGAAGACCTGCAAGTAAATCTTTGGGATTTTTCGAGGCAGAGCGATGACACGATGTCAGAATTTTGATTTACTTTAATTTAATTTTCGCGCTAAGACTACTGAATTTGCATTTAATGCCTGGCATATTTTTATTCCGAAAAGGACCGAGAACTAATTTATTTTCCTGCAAGAACATAAACAAATATGGCCGACGATTCGAAGATCAGCGTTGCTCGTGTTTAACTATTTCAGTCATAGTTTTCAACATGGCGTCTCGTCACTTACTCATCATGGAAAATAAGGAATATTCTGGCGCGTTGGGAACTTTTTTGATGGGAGGAAGTGGCAATTTTACAGGATATTTGGACGCTTCGAATTCTGTAGCAGTCAATTCGATCGAGAGCAGTTGACTTTATTGATGCACTTTCCTGTAATAGGCGAGTGTTTGGGATGGAGAACGACGGATTTTGAAGAACTGTATGGCGACCTAGGTTAATGATCAATGACAAAAGAACTGGCTCGGTAATAAGTGGTTTTTATTTATCGAGTCCCTGTGAGGTTTGATGAATAGCAGAATCAGTACTGAATATGTCTCGATCGAGAGCGGACGGGACCATGAGCTCTTGATTGTTATATTTTAGAAATTTTACAAATTTCCATACAGTTTCTTATATTATTTGGACGCTATTATGGACGAAATGCGCAAGCGCGGTCGCCATCTTGTCCAATATTTCTGCCGATGAGGTTGTTAAGCCCCCATGTTAGGGGTTGTTGGGGATAGAGTTTCTTTGCGGGGCCCCCCTCCAAATGCATCCCAGTGGGCATTAAATAGTACAGTTAGATCAGGCCCTCTTGCCTGTAGCACTCCTGCACAAGGAACACAATAAGCAAGGAGGTTTGCTGTGGGAGGTCTGGCATGTTAATTACACACTTTTGATTTCAGGCGTGAAATGGAAAGGTAAAAGTGCCTTAATTTTATGACACCGATATTGGATATCAAATTTGTTGAATAACATCTTTGTTTCTAGTGTTAAAATAGAACTTCCTATTTTTATTAATGGATGATTAGACACTTAGTGAGGATGCCAGGCCCCTTTTGAACCGGACCTTCTTGTTTATTGTTTTAAGCCTCATACCATAGTGGAGGTCTAGGTTGTTATCTCCAGATAACTGTAGTGACAAAAAAAGTTTAGGAAAATACTTTTGATATGAAATTAAAATGCAAACTTGTTACTGTTTCTTGTAAGAGGGCCAGCTGCCTTACCAACGTGCAACAAACTAAGGAGAACTTGTATTTATGTAATTATTTTCCCAACAAACTGTCAGGAATTATTTTTCAATTTGGGATTACATTCTTAAAAATTCGTCTTTTTGACAGACAAGTGAGTTGTAGATATTTTGCTTGTCAATTTGAAGGATGAAGATAAGTTAGTTTACAGTCTAAAGCGGCAAAATTTAGGCATTTTCTTACAATATCAATAAGTTCTACTATTAGAACATCATTAACTTTTGAGGTTTTATCCTGCATCAGACAACGTTTGACCCTGCATTGTATATATGTATCTTACGTGAGAAAAACACAATAAAGATAACATTGCGTTACATTGTTTTCTTTGGGGCAGTCATTCATGGTCAGGGTCATGTTATTGTTTTTCTAGCCCAATTTATGACGTTTCATAATGCGTAAAGATCGCCGTTCTGTTCACTTTACGGCAGTCGTAAAATTTCGTAAACGCACGTTAAGATTACGTTTTATACGAACTCATCTTTCTACACGTATACCCGGTTAACAGAAAGGAAATTTACACAAATAAGGAATATTATGCCGCAGAAATGTTAACGATGGTTTGCGCGTAAATACCGCCTTTCGGTTAGCTTTACAGCGGTCGTAAAATGTCGTAAACGACCTCATTAACTTCTTTACGACTTTTTACAATTTGGTCGTAAAATGTCGTAAACGACCTCTTTACGACTTTTTACAATGCAAGTAAAGATAGCGTTTCGAGTCTAATTACGGATTCTTTACCCATGATCGTTTACAATGCCTATAGACGTTCTTTACGAATTTGTAAAGAAGTTCGTAAAGAAGTGTAAAGTAGAGTCTTTAGGTTTTCTTTACGGTATCTTTACGGATGCGTAAATTTGAGATTTCATGCTGTGTAATTCTCCTTACTGTCTGCCATACAATTTATGTGATGTTTGTTTGTAGAATTTGGAATTGGATCAACCATTAATTACCTGATTGATATTTTTCTGTATTCTCATTACTTGTCTGCTTGATATGGTACTGACAGTATGAGGAGAAATTCTGCCTGGGTCACTAGTGGACCAAAAGGGTTAAAATGGGAAATTTTATTATATTGTGTTGATTAAAATTTTCTTATTCTTTCAAATGTAACAAAAAAAAGTGATGAGAATCTGATGTTATGAAACAATAAAAAAACCTGTTGATGGTAGCTTATGTCTGTAATGTTTAAATGTTCATGGGAAATACTTTCCTTTTGATAGGATACAGAAGTTTTTTCAAAGCTGATAGAAATAAGCACTTTGTAAGTAATGAAAAGCAAATTGACAATCATACCTTAATGCTTGACATGCTTCACTCAAACATGTCAGCTATGTGTACCTACCATTGTAGAGGTGTCTTTAAAAATATTTTTTGGTGTTGTTCTTCGTTGATCTTTGTAGCCAAAAAACCTGCTAAAGGCACTGAACATCAATTTTTATGTACACAAGGCACCCTCCAAAGTGGAAGAGTAGAAGACCATAGAATGATGTGTACTAGGCACTTGCACTTAATTACCACAATTATATATTCAAGCAATACTCTTCATATATACAATATACAAACAAGGGTCAAGTGGCCATTTATAAATCTACGATTTTGAAAGTTTGTGGTAAGTAAAAATTGCGATATTCGTTACTTGGTCAAAATCTTATCAAAGAATAAATAAAATGACATGAATTAAGCCTACATAACGCTCGGCGCAACTGAAACAAGAATAATTCTGAGAATCGAGTCGGTAACTTGCATGCCGCAGTTTCTGAAGCTTATGCTTTACAATGAAATAAATCTGTCACTAAGGTTTCAAGATTACTTTAGTCACGTTTGGGAACATTCAAGATTCATAATACAAACTGTGATTAAACAAACCTTATTACATAAAGAAGCCCTCAGCCCTTTTTCAGTAAAATCTATGGGAGAGATGTACCAACTCCATTATAAAAGTCATTCAATATAACAGAGATTTCCCAATCCCAGTGCACTTTGTTATATTGAGATTCCAATGAATGCCCTTTTCCTTATAGCTATCTAAGGTCGTGTCTTAGCTTTAAATATATATTTATATATATATATATATATATATATATATATATTTTTTTTTTTTTTTTCAAATTCAGATGTCATGGAATCCAGATACAAAATGGTCAAGCTTCTTGTAGATAACCTCATTCAAGGCCAACAGGGAAAGCGGTGAGCCCAGGAAAAAAAGAAAAACAGCAGCTCAGTCTGCAGTTTAGGATACCTTCATTCTAATTTATTGTTACAGTTACAGCAAGATTTTAATTAAAAAATCAATTCTATTTAACTGTAATTAAACCCTTCACTCCCAAGAGTGACAGGTCAAAACTTAAGTAGAAATCTTTGAATTTCAATGTGCAGAATCAAAAACAAAGAGTAAAACACGAAAGTGCTGCTTGACAGCTTACCTTTGAATGTTCACACACAAGAGTTTTATCCAAATAAGTTACAACCACATAAAATCAAGTCAAAGCCTGTCTCTGGGAGCAAAAGGGTTAAATACCATTTGTATCATCATCCAAAATTAAATGATTCACTTAAAGACTTTTTAGACAGATAGCATTTATTGCAATAAATATAATTTAAGATATTGAGTTTTATAAACAAGAATCAAAAGATGTTATTCACAATTTGTGTCAAACCAAATTTAATGATTGATTAGGACTGTTTTATATCAACAGCTATAACTGAGGATTAATTCATATGAAGTTTCCAAGAAAAGAAAATTAAATCAAATACCATCCTATTATTACTACATGTTGATGTTATTATACAATCAAAAATATTTTACACGTAAACCTTCATTAAGCTTGTAAATAAATTTCATTGAATACTTGAATTTTAGCCGGGACTTTTTTAGTTTTTAGTATTTATTTTATATAAGTAGCCACAAATTTTTGCTTAAAATTCCCAGCAATTCTTAAACATTCCTAGAAATTCCTAGGAATTTTTTAGATTTACAGCTTTTTAGGGAAAGTCATTGGTGATATAAGTTGGAATTCCTAGAAATTCCCAGGAATTCTAAGTCTTGGTGGCTATAAACTTGGAATTTCTGGGAATTTCTAGGTTTTTAGAACCAGAGTTGTTATAGTTGGGAATTCCTAGAAATTCCCAGTCTGAATTTACTGTGAAAATTCACACCTCTTATTCCTAGGAATTCCTAGGAATTTCAAAATCCATTTTGCAAGGGTACAATTCTAAAGTTTGCTAGGGTAATGCATCTGTATCAGTAGAAGTATTTTAGGTACAGTACCACCTAGTAACCTAGTAACCAAAATCAAAACCGAAAAAAGCAAGGATTCTCCTTTAATTAGGACTGAAATTAATGGGGGCCCTCCTGTTTTAATTCATGTTTTTACTTGACCTGCCTCCCCCCCCCTGTAATGTTGAGGGAACATGTATAGATGAAGAGAACATTTTTTGTAT